ATACCCACTACAGTCCTACAGGAGGTCAATCGCGAGCCCGAATAGCTCAGTGGTAACATCTGTGACTGCAGTACTCACTGGGTGACGCGGGTTCGAATCTCAGAAGGGACATGAGTTCCTTCATGGTTGCAGATACGCCTTGCTGACTGGTGATTGCCAACTAGCACGAAACCTAGGTCCAAAGCTGGGCTTCCTGCCGATTGCCTCTACCTATCCAATATTGAAAATATGTATATTTATCGTACATGTGTGCACGAATTACGGGCTTAACTTCATTTTTTTAAAGTGAAGAATGCAATTTTCTTTTCATTGTTTTCGCTTTAGTTTTCTTTTGTTTTCATTCAGTCTTAGAACAAAAGCAATGGAATTCCATAAAAACATTGAACGCGCGCACACACGCACATGCAAACACAACACACACACAAATATGCTTCGAGTGATGAATTAACAATATCCTGTTTTCTTTTCACTCTTTCGTCTACCTTAAATATATTTTCATGCATAATGCATTTCTGTGAAATATTTGTCCAAAATTTTGGACAACATCTCACGGTACAAATATTTCATCAGAGAGAGAGAGAGAAAAACAAAATATGCCAATACATGTCCAAAAATGTATATTCCAGGTAAGCGAGTAAAATAACTTATCATTTTTCGTATTTAACTGATTTGACGTAGTAAAGTGGATATTCATATTATTCTTTTATGACAGGTAACATAGCGTAAACACCATTACTACTAGTACTACCTTATTGAATGATAACTATAGTAATGTTTGTGGAGTGATATAATTGAATGTGATAGTTGGACTGTAGTCAGCTACTTGCACAATATATATGAAAGGATATTATACTACTACACAAGAAGAGTAAGGCAAGGCTATCTACTATCTCCAGTGATTTTCCTGATTGCGGTACACTGGATAATGCGATAGACAGTAGGCCAGGCAACGAGGAAACAGGCATAAAATGGAGCCACACAAAAAACTTGGAGGATCTGGACTTCGCCGATGACATATGTCTGGAAGATATGCAAGTGAAAAGCAACAAGTTGGCAGAAGAAGCATCAAAGATAGGCCTTCAGGTGAATACAGAGAAAATAGAGGTGGTGAAGATTCCTGGTCAACAGCAACAACAACAATCAGCATAAATGGGAGAAATCTGAAAGAAGCAACCTCCTTTACCTACCTACCTGGGAAGCATCGTTTCAACTACAGGCGGACGGAACTGACGAGGATATCAAAGCGAGAATCAGGAAAGCAAGGCAAGCTTTCACTACTCTCAAGTCTGTGTGGAGGTCAACAGCACTCAGCATGAAAAATAAGATCCGGATTTTCAACTCCAATGTGAAGTCAGTGCTACTATACGGATGGATCAGAGACTTGGTGCGTCATGAAGAGCACATCAAACAAACTACAGACCTTCATCAACAGCTGTCTTCGCTCAATACTCAAGATCAGATGGCCGGCCAGAAAAGATCAGCAACAGGGATCTCTGGGAGCGAACCAACCCAGCAGGAACCGATTGTGCAACAAATATGCAGGAAGAAATGGAGGTGGATTGGCTGGCCATACTCTGAGGAAACCATCAAGTGACATCACTAGACAAGCCATTGCTCGAGTGGAACCCGAAAGGGAAGCGGCGAGTTTGTCGTCAGTGCAAGGGTGACATGGAGGAGGTCATGTGAAGAGGAGATGAAAGCATGTGGGCAGACGTGGAGCCAGGTGAAGACGTTGGCAGAGAACCGAACGCAATGGAGACGTGTGGCTGAAGCCCTATGTTCCTCTAGGAACTAATGGAAACAACAACAATAATACACAAGAAGAGATAGCTTACTGGTTAAAGTGTTTAATCCAGATTTAAATCCAGTTTTATCTGAACAACCAATGCCCTATTGTAAGCCTTCGCCTAATAAGACTATCAATTCAGATGATGTTTATATATATTTAATCAAGAAGTGTGCATGAGAATTTAAATTCTCCATCAACTTCGAAGTATGAAAAGTAACCATGTGATATTGTAACGACAGAAGACAAGGGCCAAGCAACAAACAGATCGTTTATTGAGAAAATCAAGAGATATTTATAGATTATTATGTACATTACTGTCAGTGGAGAAGCAACGTCTTCTGATCGGTTGTTTTCTTGTTGAAGGTTATTCTGTCATCTCCTTGTGACCATTTCTCAGAAAGTTAAGGCATATATCTGCGAATCCTATTCGCACACGTTAAGTCTGCTGTGATTGGTTGATGAGTTCCTCAAGGTTAAGCTTTGTTATCGTTTTCCTCAAGACCCCGATTCGGGACGTAACATTGACGTAAGTCGGCTTGCAGCCAGCTCTCACCACAATATAAATTCAAGAAAAGCATAGGTCAGCAGAGAATATTCTTTTCGCGACTTCACTTCAAAGCTGTATGGTTAAATAGTTTTGTAAAATTTCAGGGAAATGACTATAAGGTCAAGTTTTCACATCACTTGACAACAAAACAGATGAATTTACATATCAAGAGAAAATACTAAATTACGTAATCTAAAATCAATAAGTGATGACTATCGCTCACATACAATTACCTTTAAAAACTACAAGGGCCTTGAGACAGGAACACTGTTCAAAAGAGTAAGAGATTTCGAATATTTAAAAAGTGCATTTTAAAGTTAGGAGTTTGAAAGGAAGAAATTAGACGAAGATGAAAAACCGAATGAATATGGATTAAAAAGCAAGTTATTGTACGAGTTGGAAGAAGCTTACGGTCACGGTAAACCTCTTCTTCACACACACACAATTTAGGGTTTTTCTTGTGTACAGGAAGGACTTCTACTGTGGACAGAAGATGTTGCCGGAAACCCTTCGAAAGATTTTTCTATTGATGCGGAATGATTTGTATGGACAAGGTGCTCTGGAATTGAACCACTTTTTTTAAACTTATACAATAACTTGTGTCAATGCTGGTGAACATTGAATAGTTTGTTTATTCGAACTGGTCTCCATTTGGCGGGAGACAAGAAGGCTGTCATTGCTTAATCGTGTACTGGTTGGCAGAAGATTGGAGAAATACGATCAGAAGTATTGTTGTACATTATATTAACGTTTATTTACAGACTTTGGCACTGATTAACCATTGTAAATCTGTTTCGTTATCGCTTGAAGAATAAACAATCGTGTTGTCCAGTCGTTTTCTGTTGTTCTGCGTCAGTTACAGTGCATAGTGTTCTCAGTATCAGGCTTACTCGTCTGAAACCCGCGATACGTCCAGGATTTCTGAGATCTGGAAATTCGACAACTTGCTTTTTATTCAATATGCATTTGGTTTTTTTTATCTTCGTCTTATTTCTTCCTTTCAAACTCCTAACTTTAAAATACACTTTTTAAATATTCGAAATCTCTTACTCTTTTGAACGATGTTCCTGTCTTCAAACCCTTGTAGGATTTAAAGGTAATCATATATCAGCGATACTCATCACTTGTTTTTAGGTTAGGTAATCTAGTACTTTCGGTTGATATGAAAACGTGACTTTAGTGACATCTTCAGGTTCACATACTGGCAACGGAGTGAAGACACTTATTAAAACAATTGGCAGAAGTTAGAATTCATGGGCCACTGGATCGGCTCCCAGCAGCTTAATGGTCAACGAGATTGCCTTGTAACTAGAAGATCCTGAATTCGAACCCCGCGTTACGGGTGCGTACTGCCGAAGAGTCCCAAACTGGGACGAAACAGCTGTCCAGTACTCCCAGGTTTTCCAATAGTTCTCTAACCAATGTCAGCTCATGATGAAATCCTCTAACCAATCAGACAGAATCTCTACAAACCAATACTGCAAAACAAAATAGATGACTACAACAGTTGAAACAAAAATTGAGTTGCGGTAGAATTTGATCCAGTTAACTGCCTTTCAATAGCTGTGGTCTTTGCCAATCGTTGTCATTATTATTATTATACTGGCTGACTAACTGGGGCTTGTTCGAGTCAATTCGAGTTAACATGAAGTAGAAAGTGACAGCTGATGGTTTATTCTTAATGAGAATAACTGAGATATTGTTAATTCTCAAAAGACCAGCGGTGATGTATTATTATTATTATTGTTCCCTTGGGTTCCTAGTGGAACATAGGGCTTCAACTACACGTCTCCACTTGCTTCTGTCTTCTGCTGTACTTTTCACCTGCATCCATGTTAGTCCATACTGTTTCAACTCCTCTTCACACGATCTCCTCCATGTCACCCTTGGACGTCCCACTCGCCGCTTCCCTTTCGGGTTCCACTCGAGCAATGGCCTGACGCGCGATGTCACCCAACGGCCTCCTCAGCGAGTGTCCAATCCATCTCCACTTTCTCCTGCATATTTGTTGGGCGATTGGTTCTTGTTTTGTTTGTTCCCATAGTTTCTTGTTGGTGATTCTTTCCGGCCGGCCATCTGATCTTCAGTATAGAGCGAAGACAGTTGTTGATAAAGGTCTGCAACAGGCTGTTGGAAATATTCTTTGTGACCCGCCAAGTTTCTGATCCGTATAGAAGAACTGACTGACTTGACGTTTGTATTGAAAATCCGAATTTTGTTGTTTATGTTGAGTGACGAAGAGCGGTGATGTAATGACACGTAAATACTAGTGGTAATAACAAATAGATTGGTCTTTTTTTAACAGTTTCTGCATGCTTTATTCCCCGTTTTACACTGGGAAATTTGAAATACTAGACATGTATTATTTCTTATCACAAAATTGTCAATACTTTCTGCAAATCAATAATCATACTACTGATTAGATAGACAATATTTCATGTAAAATATATCAACAAAAATTGACATGAATTGTAAGGAAACAGTTGTTCATTGCTGTCTAGATTTGAATGACTTTTCTTTTAGTTTGGATTTGTCAAAACTACTTTCATCGTGAGTCATTTTATGAAACCGCTAGTTAAACAATTAGAAATGTTTACAATCTATTATTTGTTACATAAAGTGAATATAGAAAACTACAAACAAAACATAAATAAAACGTCATACTTTGTGATGGAAGCGGGATTGATTTTGATATACCAGAGGGTTGATAAGGCTGTTGTTCACCTGTTGCCTTTACTGACTTGTCTGTTGTGTTAACGCTTTTTCGTGTTAACTCTTGTTTCATTAATAATAAATCTGAGTCTAAATTCCCACCCATTGCTGCTTGTTTTAAGCTGGCTAGAAGAGATTCTTCAAAACTGGCCGATAAATCATCTGATCTCTCGTATCCAGCTAAATCTATAGGAGTTGGTGTATTCCCTTCTTTGGTATTCTTATTATTGAAGTAATTGTTATTCTTCAACTCGTTGAAATGATAGACATTGTGAGGAGTTGAAGTTGTTTTTGAAGGTTGTGAAGCAGACGCCTGAAAGAATATGAAAAAATGCGTATAACAGTAGTATCTCTGTGGTTAATTAGTTCAATGTGACATATTATAAACAAATGTCTCGGGTACCGCCTTTCAACGAGGCATTCGAAGTGAATACAGCAGTCAGATAGGGCTGGCTAATGTCACCGATATTCTAATTTGGTGACTGGATTATGCGTCAGACTGTGCACAGGGAGCGAGGAGACACGAATACGCTGGACCACCGAAAAAAAGACTGTAGAAGATCTGGATTTCGCGTGTGGATGATTTGTGCTTAATGTCACATAAAATCGAAGACTTACAGGCGAAAACCAACAAACTGGCTGAAGAAGCAGTGCAGAGAAGACAGGACTCCAGGTGAACATACAGAAGACGGAGGTGATGAAGATAACCAATCACCACCAACAGCGACAAAAGCAATAACCAGTAGCAATCACCATCAACGGGAGAGATTCGACAGAGGTTACTTCCTTCACTTATCTGGTTAGGAAGCATGGTTGCAACCACAACCAGTTGGAACGGATAAAGATGTGAAAGCCAACCAGCCAGAATCGGAAAGGCAAGATACACCTTCATCAACCTGAAACTAGTTGGAAAATCTGACACACTTCGCCTCAGCATAAAGAACAAGATTCGGTCAGTCAGTTCTTCTATATGGGTCAGAAAGTTGGTGAGCGCGTCACAAAAAACATTTCCAACGGGCTACTGTGGACTTTTATCAACAGCTGTCCTCTTCACTGGCTCCATACTGAAGATCAAACAGCCAGCTGGCCGGCCAGAAAGAATTAGCAACAAGAAACTCTGGCTGAGAACTACTTGAAGATCTTCCACAAAGAGTAAATACCCTACAACAAAATTCCGCATTGTGTTTAAAACTAACTTTCTAGAATTAAGCTGTTATTATAATTATTTTAAAAAATCCGGCGGTGGAATACCCTACTTGTATTAGAATGCAGGCACATTGAAGACTGCCTATTATCTTTGGATATCATCAACACTTTGTATATTACGAGTATCTCCTCGTCCTTATAGCCATACAACAGATTGTCAAACCTGTGGGCGAATAATAGTAGTTCCATTATATTATTATTCCCTTGGGTTCCTAGTGGAACAGAGGACTTCAACAACACATCTCCACTTTCTTCTATTCTCTGCTATCCTCTTCAGCTGGCCGAACGATTGCTCATAATCTCTAATCTCCTCCTCCCCAACACACGATCTCCTCCATGTCACCCTTACACCGACGACCCACTCACCGCTTCCCATTCGGATTCCACTCGAGCGATGGCCTGCATTGCCCGCGATGTCATTCGACGGCCTCCTCAACGTATGTCCGATCCATCTCCATTTCATCCTACATATTTGTTGAGCGATCGGCTCTTGGTTGGTTTATTCCCAGCCAGAGTTTCTTGTTGCTAATTCTTTCTGGCCGGTCAGCTGGCCATTTGATCTTCAGTATGCAGCCAGTGAAGGAAGCTGTGATAAAAGTCTGCAGCCACCTGTTAGAAATGCTTTTCGTGACACGTAGTGCAAGTTTCTGACCCGTATAGAAGAACTGATTGACTGACTGATTCATATTTGTGTTGAATAGAATCCGAATCTTGTTCTACACACTGACTGAGTCAGTGCATCAGATTTCCAAACTGGTTTCAGGTTGATGAAGGCATATCTTGGCTTTCCAATTCTGACTGGCTGGATTTCACATCTTCATCCGTTCCAACGCCTGTGGTTGAAACCATGCTTCCTAGCCAGATAAGTGAAGGAAGTAACCTCTGTCGAATCTCTCCTGTTGATGGTGACTGGTGCTGGTTGTTCCATACGTGGTTATTATTCAAACAAGAAGACACCAATCAAAAGTACTCATGATATCCCTCAAAACAAAAAGTTAAAACATTCTACTATAACTTACCATAATCACTTTGAATTTTAATTCAGTGTCAGTTAATTCTTTTAGCGAGTTTTGATCTACACTGATACGTTGGAAATATGAACTTTCTGAACAGATCATATCATTGTCAGTGTCATCAACTTCAGTCTCATTAGCATCGATATCTTTATTATGTTCTGTTATAAAATAGTTTGGAGCAGGTTGGGGTAGACTATTGAATAAATATAAACTTCCAGAGCAAGTAGATTGACATAGTTTTTGTGTAACTGAATTCTTTTCATCACTTTCTGACTTCGTATCATTCACAGTTTTTGATTGGTTTGATTTATCACTCCCATCAAGATTAGGATTTAAAGTGATTTTATCATTATTGCTATTCCTGCTGCTGTTGTTGTTGTTTGAATGGTTAACCACAGCTCCAGCGCTGAAACTTCTTGGACTGCATAAACAAGATAGGAAATACGTTAAACAGCATTGTTTGATGGAAGGGAATGATTTAATCTTCAAGATACAGTCATTACTGATGGTAATGCTTACCGAAGACATTTATAATTAATTACATTGTGTTGCATATGAGAAATCTCCTGTCAATAAATGTCAAATAGAGTCTACGGGCACCTACATACATTCAGTACAAGGAATTTTTCCCATTCCTTTGCGTTCTGAGTGGAACACAGGGTTTCAAGCCTGAGATGTGAAGTTTCAGAAGCGTTGGTGTTGTTTTAACGAGGTGTGGTTGCTAGTCTCAAGCCCAACCTTCTTCCTTTGCCGGATTTACTGAGGGCTAATCAAGATTTAGGAATCCGTCAGTCAGGGATCGAACCCAGACCACACGAGTAGTTAATGAGCACACACACAATGAATTACACAACTAAAATTATCTTTCCAGATGTCTTTGATTTTCTAGGGTTCTCTAAACGATTTCTACGCATGAAGAAAATTACTACTTACATTCAAGTTTTGGATTGAATATCAATGAGATGGTCACTAGTGACTTGCCTCATTCAGGTAGGTAGTTACCTGGGGTTCTAGTGAGAAGTCGTGACCAGTAGGGTGCAGCAGGTCGGGCGTGAGGACAAATACTCGCTGGAGACATTGGCTAGCGGTCACGCTATGTCGTGAATTGGCAGAAGTTAGAATTCATGGGCTGGTCACCGGATCGGGTCCCAGTGGTTTAGTGGTCTACGAGCTCGCCTTGTAACCAGGAGGTCCTGGGTTCGAATCCCGGTGGGTGCGTACTGATGAAGAGTCTCAAACTAGGACGGAGGAAACAGCTGTCCAGTACTCCCAGGTTTTCCAATGGTTCCCTAACTAACGTCAGCTCATGATGAAATCCTACTTCTTACATTATTTCCATCAGAAGGAATATAACGCATTTTATGCAAACTACTTATTTTATTTAAGTAGCCAAAAGTTCTATATGAATTTTCAGAGAATTGTCAAGTGGATATCACTTCCTTCGAGGTTGCACACATGCCCCCAACCCAGGAGTACTGGTAATTATGAAAACTATATTCAGAGCCTCCTGAAGACTTCCCCCAACCACTCAACATCAAGCATAAGTGGAAATAGCTTAGGCGTAGGTTCCGTCATGCTGAGAATTAAAAATAGTTTTTAGTTTCACCAAGCAAAACAAAACATGGAATGCATTCTAGCTTCAATTGTGCTGAAAGTGGAAATTGAGATAAGTGTTTAGTAATAGAAGTGAAGATGACATTAAAATCAGAAAGTTGATTATTATCAATTGTAATATTCAGTCATTTGTGGGACTTCATTATTGGAGCAGGAATGAAGCTTCTAATTTGAGCAAACAGACAGATTTTCCATTGAAACAACTACAAAACGGAACGACGACGTCAGCGGTTTGGAGGTAGAATACTCGCCAGCCACGCCCATGGTCTGGGTTCGAATCCCAACCAACACACACCTTAACCTTGCGTAGCCTGCAGTAATCCTGGAAATGAGGAAAGGTTGGGCATAAATCTAGCAACTCCACTCCCTAAAATAACATCACTGCCACTCAAAATTCAAAGCTTAAAGTTTGAATCTCTATGTTCCATTTGGAAAGCAGGGGGATAAAAGAAAGAAAAGAGATTGAAATTAAGGTAAAAGAATAACTAGAACAGTCAAATGGAGTCTAATTTCACATAATATCTAACGTGTAATGTTTGTTTGTTAGATGGAAAGACAGATTGATCACTTAATCATCCTTCATTGAATCGTCATCTAATGTATACAGTATAAATGGCACAATACCTACTCTAAAGATATCTAAAAAGCTGAATATCTATGCAACCAGGAAAAACAAAGCAAAAGCCATTGGACAATAAACACGAAATTTTGAATGTCGTGTGACTAGATTGTGCGAGCAAACAACTCCACTTTATGTTTTCAAATAAACGCATGAAATATGGCGATTAGGATTACTTTCACTCTACTGATGAATAGTCTAAATTAGATACCTGATGACAATGTTGGTAATCAGTGGAACTTTTCCAACGTGATCAGTTTTCTAAAGCCGATCTCACTTTGGATGACATTAAATAACACAATGATAACTACTTATACTGCAGTTCGAATAATTAGCTAAAACATTTTTAGATGTGAAAGATGGTGAGCCCAATCATGTTCACATTTCTGGTCAGAAGAAGTGTACAAAGTCTAAAACTGTAATTGATTAAGTTAGGTGAATTAGTTCGAATGGTGCCTGAAAGACATACCTACTATTTTAGTTGTTTCAGTTAAATAAGCAGGAATGATTCCAATACATGGAAGGATTAAGAAAACATGGTAAAGAGCTGGCCGCAGATTTACAAACTGATGTATGTTGAAACAAACACGCGAATTCTAAAATATTGCGTAATTGCTCATCTAATATACATTAAGCTTAATCTAACTGCATAATACATAAATTGTCAAGTCATTGTTTTATCAGTGTTTCTTTCAAGATAATATGTAATGACATGCGACAAATTTGAAAATTTTTTGTTTTACTAAGTTCATAATATTTAAAGATTTTAGTGGAACATCTAAGTAGACAAATCATTCCAAACCATGAGAGTTCTAGCTAGTCAATTAGACGAAATGATGACGCATAGAATGAAATTTAAATACGCGAATTACACAGTTCAAATGTGAAACTCCACCACACTTGTCTACAGAAACCCAAAGCATTTGAACCAAAATATGTAATCAAGAAGAACTGTAAAGTCTTTCTATAAATTGTTAGATTTCTTAAACACGAATCACAGCAAAATCAGCCACATAAGTTTGAAAGGTAGAATTATCTAGATAGCCTTTGAACTGTTGATTTCACGTGTGATAAAGGGCATCTTCAGCTTCATGGTACTACTTAAATTACTGAGAAATATAGTAGATAAGTGTTGGAAACAAGACTCATCAAAATATAATGGCTCTCAACCAATGTTTCATTTTAAGTCGTTTTTAATCAAGGCTTTCCCAGCTCATTATTCTGAATTTGATTTCTTCCATTTTTCGCAAACATTTTCATACTACTTAAAAGCAAAAGAGTAAGAGAAAAATTTCCATCAATAAAACGGAATTTGCGTCTGGAAGCCGCTTATATTTGTTCCAAAAATTCACCGTCGTTACTTAAAATTTTATATGTAAATCTATTAGGAAGCTCTAAATGAAAGAAGTACTATTCGCTTGTGTATCCTGCTTTAATTTTAACAATGGAAACATTTAATATTTCAAATCTACTCACTCTTTAGTAATGTTTGATCTAATAAATGTCTTCTTGGTCGTAGTTGAGCTTTGTTCATTAATGCATACCTTGTTAACTTGTAGGGATATTCGTTGCTTTCCAGAATTTTGTTTATCTGAAGTATTTCTTTGAATTTCTAATGAAGAAGTATTGGAGGAATTTAATCCAGAATTGTGCTTGTCAACGGTTTTCAGTTCTGATATCTGAAGTAGTCAGAAATAATAAATGAATTAGTTGCATCTAAAAGACGAGTTACTTAACAATACTTCATTACCTTATTTGGTGGATAGTGACCAGCAATGGAATCCAGGAAGTGCATTCCGTCCTACTGCAGACTCATCAGCCGGATTAAAAGCAATGGAAAAACTGTTTTTACTTAATCTTGAACCTTCATTGAGGGCTTTTAACTACCCTACACAATTTGCCACTTTTGTTTTACATTATACTATTTCAGACAGAGGTGCTAAATATATTCGGTGTGCCTTCCTAGAGTATACATCCGTCTTTGACTCTGTACCTCGGCCTCTTTTGTTAAACAAGCTTGCTGTAACACAAGCAGTATGCTGGACTAATAATTGGTTGCATTCTTACTTTTCTTATAGGAAGTAGTATACTGTTTACAATGGGAAGTCCCTCACTGCTTCACTTACTTTAGCTGGTGTTCTTCAAGGAGCTGTTCATTCCCCCTTTCTGTGTTCTTTCTTCTTACATGACTTGCTCCATTCTGAAGAAGCCGATTTTGTTAAGTATGCCGATGATCTGACTGTTTCTATGCCTGTTACTTCTCACTCAGACTGTTCTAAATGAATAACATTTTATCAGAAATTAGTCAGTTGTCTTCGTCAAATGGTCTTAAGCTTAATCTCTCCGAATCTCAGGTGGTTGATTTCACTTTCAGATGCAGAAGCGACTTACATGAACTGGTTAGTTCGCACGGTTCCACTATCATAGATGACACTGAAGTTGAAGCCAAATTGAATGTTAAATACCTTGGACTATGTATTTTCTCTGATCTTTCCTGCTCTTCCCACATTATGGGAGTTTCTGGAAGGATATTTCGTTTGACGTTCTATGTAAGGAAATTAAAACAACCTGGTATCATTCAGTCTCTACTTTCTAAGTTTGTTAATTCTTGTATTCTACCTATACTTCTTTATTGCTACCCCCTCCCAAATTAATCTTTCTTCGGTTACTTAAGAAAGACTATTTTACACTGAGAAGGGCACTAAAGGTTGTCAGTAGGGAGAGTGGGATGTCGCTTAACCAACTATTGTGGATAGACTCATCAACTCACGCAAGAAATTAGCGAATATTATCTTGTTAGACTTTGAGCATCCTTTCTATACACAACTTTCTTCTTGCATCTCATCGGGAAGAACTAGAAGCAACTGTAGAAGACTATATGGTCGGCTGACTGTGTATAAAAACTCTACAATACCTCATTTGGCACATATTTTATGTGATGAGGAAAGTGCAAGGCAGGGTACTACCAACTTACTGTGAAATACCAAGTACACGGCCATCTTTTCTCTCTTTTTTCATCATGATACTGTTTTTTTAATATTTTTACTTAATTTAATTTTCTATCCATATTCTTATCCAACAATATTACCAATGTAAATGCCCTATTTTAATTATTACTCTTGTAATGAGAAAATTAAATGCAGCACTGTACTACATGCTGAAAATTCCATATTTGTACCAAAAATACTATTTGGAATAAAGCTATTATTATTACTATTATTATTGAAGTCAGTTAGTCCTGCTATATGCTTCAGAGACTTGACGCGTCATGAATAGGTTTCAGACTTTTATAAGCAGCTGACTTTGCTGGCTCCATATTGAAGATCAGATGGCCAGGAAGGATAAGCAACAAGGAAGTCTGGAAACGAACCAACCAAGAACCTATCGCCCAACAAATATGCAGAAGGAAATGGAGATGGATCGGATACCCACTTTGGAAACCGTTGAGTGATATCGCGCTCTAGGCCCTACAATGGTACCCGAATGCAAAAAGATGAGTTGGTTGGAGGTTGACATGAAGGAGATCGTGTGAGGAGGAGATGAGAGCCTATGGACAATCGTGGAGCCAGCTAAAAACAACTGCAGAGAACAGGGTGAAATGAAAGTGTGCTGATGAATCCCTATGTTCCACTCGAAATCCAAGGGAATAGCAATAATACACCTGCTTTAATTAACGAATTAATTAAAACCATTATCTCTTTTAATAGATTATACATGCCCTTCCACATTATACACATACCCGTAAACAAGAATCCGTTGTTTATTTATCAGTCGTAGTATGTGACAGATAAGTTGTTATTCGCAAAATTGTTGCTCAGTGTTCTGACGAGTCAAATTTCAACCACTGCGTTAGGTGATAACGCCCAGCTCTCATGTAATCGTTTCAGTGAATTGCCAAGTGTATATAAATGTGAACTTATAGGAAGTCACTTTAATATCTAAAAATTAGTTTCAGAGTCATTATATGTATTTATCATATATATATATATATATATGTTAGCGATAGTGTGGTTCATTCATCATATCTAAGATAGTTTTGCCGGGCTAGAAAACACACATCCACCACTCACATTCTGATTCCGCTACTTGGTTGTCCAAAAGTCTTCAGGTGGAATAAATTCCAATCATCTAACCGAGGAGATAGAAATCAAACGCCAAAGCGGAATGACTACAAATTACTTCATAGACTCTCATTCAATAAATTCCAAAAAAATTCAAATCAGTATCGAAAAACTATTCAAAGGGGATTTGAAATTGCTTCACAGATTAATGTCAGTCAGGCAAGTACTGAAAACCAGAGAGTATTGAACAGTTGTTTCCTCCTAATCTGGGACTATTCATCAGTACTCACCCACCGGGGCTTGTTCCAAGGACCTTCCGGTCACAAGGCTAACACATAGACTATTCAGCCAGTGAAACTCAACCCAATGACCCATGAACTCCAACTTCCAACAATTCATGATTTCAGCGCGATCACCGACTAATGTCATCGGAGAGTATTTTTCCCCACACCCGACCCGATGGATTCCAATGGTCGCAACTGCTCTCTGGAATTCCAGTTAACTTCGTCCTGTAGCCAGTTACTAGCGGACATCGGAGTCCAAAACTAGGATGAAACAGCTGTTCAGTGCTCCCTGGTTTTCAGTAGTTCTCTAACTGGCATTAATCCATGGTCAAACTTGAAACTAACCAAATCCCTAAGGTCTAGCTCTTGAAAATTTCAAATCATGTTTATTTGGATTTAGAGAAAATTTATTTTGATAAAACTAACCTTTTCAGGATCCTTTGAATTATTAGTAGACTGAAAATTAATCAACTCTGTTTGTTTCCACTCATTTAAACGAATTTTCGGAACATCCAAAACCTTATTAGTAAGAAAACCAAATATAAGTATAAAGAAGAGAAGGTATTACTAGAGAAATTGATAGTTTTTTCCACCTTACAAACGTTCATCGCTTTTTCAAGCACTGCAAAACAACTAGAAATTGTATGGCTAACTATGAAGCTTTTAGAGTGTAACGTACTCTAGATGATAGACACATGGACTCATTATCAAATGCAATAAGTTGGCTGTACTTGATAACACTCGACAAGTCAATTAACTTAATGACCAAACTGTAGACTTGACAGGAACTGTTTCGTCCTTTAATCAAACTCGAATGAATTAAGTTGATTGCTTTTTGCTCAGTAACTAGGCACTGGGTAACTAGGCTTGATAAAATATTCTTCCATTATAACTAGGCATCGGTTATGGTCACTCTAAGATGAACAACTGTATAACTTCTTCCATTTTATAGCATTATTTAGTGTAGCGAGTTCATTTGTCTCCATTCTATTAAAATGAGTAGGTAGGGAGGTAATAGTCAGGGTGAAATAATTCCCTATTAATTTGTTTATTAGATATATCACATTAGTGAAACCGTATTATTTACTGGATATATCTAATAAACAAATTAATATGGAATTACATACCATCACAGTGTCCAAGTTTTACACATGTATTAAAAGAATAAAATAGATTTACTAGCTTATCAGAAGACTTCACTGTCAACAGTTTTTCAACAAAAAGAAACTTTAATATCCCCAAAAATTTGTAAAAAGTGTTGTAGAAGACTTTGGACTAAAAAAGACATTGCCTGATATCAGCTAGTAATAGGTGAGAATCCCATTATCAATTACCTATCACCTGATTGTAGTTGGATATTTACTTGATTTCGATTAAGGTTTCAAGTCAGTTTTTATTTCATTAAATACTGAATGGTCTTCTAGTAGACCAGACTAACTCACTAGGCTAGAGCTACCTTTTCTATCCTGAGTATCATCTGCTGTCTATCAAAGTGTTTGTTGATGCGCGTCTATTTAAAATGAACTGTTCATCGCAAAAACAGATCAAATATAATCAGTAGAGTCTAAATGTTGTCACATAAAAGAGAAATGTAGAAAATACTACATAATCAAACAGAGTTGTAAGTACCGATGGTTATCGTCAGTGGCACAAACAATAACTTGCTAAGTGAACATTCGGGAAGTGAATTGAAGATAATTCAAGTTATTAACAACACAAAATAATGATGCATACTAAAATCAGATTGATTTATTGGAAGCCAATTTAAAGAATTGGTTATATCTGTGTCTCTTAGACAAGTATACTAGAATACCTTCTACCCATTCACGTAGTTTACGTTATAAGCAGCAGCAACTATACGTGGAAATTTTTAGTATTACTCAAAACTTTATGCAGTCGAATGCCATAAAATGGTCCGTTAGTCAACTTAAGTCTTGAGATTCTTAATAAACATGCAACGGAAACCCGAGTGTAATTTACTCATAATTATTGATTATGGCCAGTAAAGCATGAAAATTAGAAGTAAAAATAAATCAAAAAGTAGTCTGGAACTTTCAGTAGCATACTTGATAAATCATTGATGACTTGTTTTCAAAATTTCGTGAACCTAAATTAGAGATAATAAACAAAGATTTGTAAGTCGACCTCATTTAAATGCATATTGTTTAGCAGAATAATTTCGAAAATATGGCTACCTAACTAAACGTCAAACATAAAAAATATTAATATATTTTGGGATTGGATAAACTTAATAAGTTTAGTGTGAAAAACATTTTTATCAATGAGTTAAACATTAAGTTAATACTAGAATATACACAACACATATATGGTCATACTATCATTCGGAACCTGTAATTAATAAGCTAGTTATACCTCAGTTTCAAGTCATTATCGATAATTTGTTGCCTAAAAACAGATGGTCTGGACTGAAAATGAAATAAGAGAACCTATGGATATAAAACTCAACTCACAGAAGGAGATCGAACAAAAAATGTCAGTGAAAATACATAGTCTTTCACCAAGCAAAAATTCAAATTTTAGGTTTGTTCGTTCTTGTTATATGACTTATGGCATCATCAAGACGAAGTTAAAGAACGTCCTACATCACGTACGCCACGTCAAATTCCTATCGAATATCACTATGTGCGTAGATACGATATCAAAATCCTGTTAACTGACAACGCTTATCCAATGAGTAGATTATATTTAAAAGACATGTCGTTCACTAATCTAGTAACACTATCTTTTCATCTTGTGTTTTTACATTTTTCATTATTTCTCATGCAAATGACTGACGCATAATCGTAACAAACTATAACTTCACATCAGGATTCCTCCAAATGCGATAACTTCCTGATTATCCTTTTAAGACAACCAAACCAAAAATTGTGCGCAACTGACAAGATACCAATGAAATCAAATGGATTCATTTTCCCCTCCAGTATGTGTAGCTATTGCTTCGCTCTATTTCAAAAGGAAAATATGCATACGAAACTATTAGATTACTTCACTTGCAAGTGTGTTCAAGCAATTTAAGGGAATAAAACCACTTTTAATATAGAATAAAGTGTGTTGTTAATCTTTTTAAGGTGAACCTATGATAACCTAAAGATTAATAAGCAGTCACTGATAGTTGTTAGTGATGCGCTGAAGACTTACATGATTATCTGATATTTTTTGAAGGAAGGGATACATTTTTCTAAAGTATCTTTGTAAGTAAGCGTAAAAGTGATAGGGGAAAAAGCAAGAACTTAGTGTTTACTAAACTTGCTAACCAAACAGTCATACTGAAGATATTTCCAACTCAAAATAACTACAGCACCTATTGATATTAAAATTTTTAATCCAGATCCTTTGTTTTTAACTTATTTTCCTAAATTTCCAGCAGTTGCTCGCTTTTATAACGGGTTTGAATTGACAAACTACATATGTTTAACATCCCCATGTGGTGTGGGAGTTGAAGTCCCGCTAACCAGCAGATTCTACGTAATTTCATTAATTATCTCAGATAAATTCACGTCTCCCACTATGCAGACTAAATAAAACCCAGCTTAACAAACTTCTTAAATTTTACTAGTCACTTTCCTCCATGAGTAATCTTACATATTGTATAATCCTGTGTCATGAAGTATACCACTTTTTTCACATAAGCAGCACAAAATAACTTACTATCAAAAGAAGCGGAATCAGTGATAGTACATGAAGTAACTGCAAGTTGTGACAAAAAACAGAATGGATAAACAGTGATACTCTGCAGCTTCTTCAGACTTGTGCCAATTTTCAGGTCATGAATGAAAGAGAACAAGTCAACCGTAAGGTTTAACCACTGAAACGCAACTGAATTCAGAAATTTACAATTGACAAACCATTGATCTCAAAACCGAAGAAAGAGGAACCATCACACAAAATCTCTTGATGGATAACGAATCACATTTCGTGGAAAAGCTTATTACAAATGGTCTTCTGTCATCCGTTGAGAACCTAGATTCAAGAAGGCAGTTATACATAAAACAAAGTTTACTTAAGATCGAACATGAAGTCATGTTCATTTGATAGAAATATACGAAAAATCAGGAATCTGTACAACGTCCGCGCTAAACAAACATGAAGATTATCAAACAGCACATACAACACATTTTGTCGTACATGAATTCGAGATGTGTAGGCTGGAAGGATGTTGACAACTTCACTACTTGAGCGCATAAAATACTAGACTTCACCTACTGAAATTATCACAAAATTTCAAATACAAACCAAAGATATGTTAGACGCTCCAGAAATGTGACATCGAAAGAATGGATTTACTGCGTTTGCTTCGAATAAAATGCGTCTTTGCATTACTGACGCCAACTCAAAATGTCATCGACCTTGAAGGTCATTTGTAATTAATGTGAGACTTAGTTAAAATGCTTCCAAGGTCCTTTGACGCAAATAAGGGATCACAGGTTTTGGTGTTGTACGTTTGTAGCACTGCAGAGTTATTTTCTTCATGGAGTGTTCGTCGGCTTTTTCAGCAAAAGTGGTTTTCAAGAAGGTAATAGTCTTGTATATAAACCTCTCTTTCCCCTCTACCATATATACATATATATATATATAGCTTTCCTCCAAAAGTGCTTTGAGAAATGGCCACCACAACTGTCATTATTAATACGTGTAATAACTGCGAATGACCTAAAGAAGGAAAGGAAAAACAATAAAAATCTTAATTAGGTAAATGGGTGAAATAATCTTAATATATGTGCACCGGTGGCACAGAGGTAGAAGGCTCGCCAACCACGCATGTGGTCCTGGGTTCGACCCCCGGTGGCGCACTCCTTTACATCGCCAAGCCAGTAATAATACTGGTAAAGAGGGAAGGTTGGGCAAGAAGCTAGCACCAACCCGATCGCCACCACTGCTACGGGAACTTCAAGCCTCAAGCTTTTTTTGATTTTCTGATTTACAGCTTGATTCCACACCGTATTTTCAGTACAAGTATGGAACTTTCAGCATGGATATCGGTAGCCCAAATTCAGGCCGACCATAGATATCGGGTGTGCGCCGGCAGGGGATCGAAACCCGGACCATGTGCATGGTCGGCGAGAGTCCTAACCACTGTGCCACCGAAGCCCTGTGTTTCACTGGGAACGTAGAGATACAAAAAATTCGCAGTACATGACAGAAGGTGAGTGTGCCAGAGATAATGTAGTTGGAGAAGGGTGTGGGAAAATCCACAGGTGAAGATATATCGAGGGTTGTTGTTTGCAATTTACTATGAGGAACTTACATCTCGACTTGGTCTCGTTGACGGTCAGTCAAATACAGGTCCTCTGTTTCTGAATGAGTTACAAACCGCCGTTTAAAAATTTCCATGGACGCTGTTTCCGCAGGGGCAGTAATTCATTTAAGGGACTGCGTTGTGAGGGATAAAATATCAGGAGGCTAGTCAAGTCCTGACTCCCAGTTAGTGATTCTCCATAGGTTTCCATAAGCGGCCAACCCCATAACATGATCAACGTTTTAGGTGATTCTGGCAACTTGCAATCCTCTACACTGTGATCAAGTAGCCCTCTTAACTAGCTGAGCATGAAGATACCAGGTCTCAACATTTTTTCTCTATACTTAATATATCTAAGGCCTACTACTCCCTTTTTGCTTTTCTGTAAATCACTTCCTAGGGGTTCGTGTGTCTTGTGAAGAGCTATGAAGCGATGAAATTGTGGCTCCAGGGGGATTCACACATGGGTTTTACTGAATCATACCATGATTTATTGTGTAGATGTATGCAGTTGTGTGATCTCACAGTGTGACAAAGCAGTGTCTCAACTTACTTCTTCCACATGGTTTGCACACTACTTCGGTTCCCCATTCGAATGATTCATGTTCCGGTTCTACCGATGAAAGGCTGGAGTCACAGAGACAGAGAGTTACCTTCGGTTGTTCGACCGCTCTGTACTTTCACAGGTTGAAAATCATCCCCAAGCCTTCCTTCACCTCCTGAGATGTTTACTTCCGTCTGTAACTGGTTCTAGTTTTCATGACTTCTTTGGTCCCACAAGGTTAGCTTTGTGGAGAGGCAAAAGATTTGGGCTTAGAATACAGTCATTTACGTGACTAAGGCATGAGCCTACCTGCATGAGTGTCTACATAATCGCTAGCTCTATTCCTAGTTTGAGAAATGATGAACTCAAATTCCTTTGAGCTGTATAAGAAACTGGCTCCCAATACTGCAACCTACTGAAAAGGAGGGATTTTAAAATTTTCCATTTATTCCGACTGAACCATTGTTGAATGTTCTCCATAACTTCTCCATGTTGACATTGTCTACTTTGGGATACGAGAGCCTAGTCATACACCTATTTTGATTATTTGCACAGGAATGAACTCTAAACACACCATTATTCGCAAATCTCGATACCTCAGTGAAGAGTTCGTAGGTAGTTTTCTGAGAAAGCTGCTGTGGAAAAGTGTTCGGGATTTGAAGAGTCAGTAACTGCGAAAACTTCCGCATTTTTGATTATGTAACGGACGTGGTTCCCTACTATGTATCTGACAGTAACGATTTCAAGCATTTCGATTTGAATGCATCAATTTGAATTACTGAAACCCTAATCATGTACAAAAGCATCTGCTAGTACGTTTATTCTCTTTCGAATATTTAGCTTGTTTGTACACACGAGCGGATGCATTTTATGAAACATTACCTATTCAAAATAATAAGAACAGTAGGGGACATATAATGAATCCCAGCCTCCGACATCCAAGTGTTCAGAAAAAGTTTTAAGAAAATGGTCCTGGAATGATTTATTAACTTCTTTTGCGACTATTAGGAGCCCTTATATGTGCCTCTGCATAAGACGCAAATATCTTTCATGCATATGCCTTTCAAAAGACCTTTCTGTATGCTCATTAATAACTACACCGGCCCTGAGGCATCACAAAGGACACCACATGACAAGTCCCTCCCATTCATAGCAGATAGCATCAAGTCTAAGTTGCGCATTGAACGTGAATCTGAATAGTAGCTCCCTTAAGTAATCTTACGTCGTCCCATACAACAGTCCGAAAGTTCGTAGTGATAGTCTCCTTCTGAGACCCATACTGAATATGCGAAACCTATCATACCACTGTATTACAAAATGTCTTGTTGAAATTCTTGAACAAGTGGCATCCAATCAGTGTTAAATAGTCTACGTCGGCTGCATGGATTAGATGTGTATGACCAGTAGGAGCATGATTTCACCAGGTATTTTTTCTCTATCTACAAATAAACCACTAGAATACACCATTTTGACAATCAACTTTTCAATCAAACCAATTACTCAAATTATCGACAAACAACAAGTTTTGCACGTTTAGTTTTGAAAACACCCTGGTGGGTGAGTGAATATTCATCACTCAGTATAGCTCTGTGAATGCAGGGCTTACAAGTCATAAAGAAGATAAGGTTAACACCTGGTCACTTGTCCTTCCCAAAGCCCTAATCACTAACTACCTTTGAGTGACTATAGGGTTCTGTGCTGAATAGACCCTATAAAGTAATTTAAAAACTGCTACAACACTACGGCGTGCTCAAAACCTTGAAAAACAACAAAAGTAGGAATTTAAGTTGATATAGTGAAGATACCTAACTAACAACAGCAAGCAACCATCAGCATCGGCGGGAAATTCTGGGGAAAACCCTCTAACGCACTTACCTGATTTGGGCAGTATAGTTTCAGGAACAGGAAGCATAGGTGATGATGTCACGGCTGGTCAGAATCTGCAAGTAAGGCAAACTTCTAATACTCTTAAGTCGGTATGCAGATCTGTAGCACTCGTCATAAAGCAAAAGACCCGAATCTTCAGCACTAAGGTCGAGGTAGTGCTTCTATGGGGAGGGCGTGCGCTACAGGTCCGTCCGTGTAATTTCGAGGTGGGTAATTGGGCACATCGGGATTAGTAAGTCTGATAAACTTTTACATGTCAACAGCATACCCAGCTCCTTACAAATTTCATCTTCTTTGAGATCATAATCACTGTTCGTAAAAATGCACTTTTATCTTAAGTTCAGTGGATTTTCCTCCTTCATTGCAAGCCAACAGATAGTGCTTGCTGTCTTTTGCTGCTTTCTTGCCACCTGCTTCCATTATATATATATATATGTATATATATTAAAAGAGAACGAATGCCAGTCAGTGCCCCAACGGTATAATTCTGTCCGACCATGCACTTGATCCGGGTTTGACTTCTGTTAAATGTGCTCCTAAGCCTCGCTTGGTGGATAGTGTGCTCGGTACACAGGGAAGGTTGTGTAGTGCGTCTACCCGGTGTACTGTTTCTATCGGGTACTTGGTGATTGGAGAGCTTAAACTGTTTGACGCCTTTAACCGGAAGTTCCTTGGCACGTGTTTGAAGAGTCTGACGTAGGCCCTTCTCTCGGTTCTTCCAATGTAACTGCTCCCGCAAATACATGTGAATTGATATATGCAGTTGGAGGCGACATATAAGAGGTACTTGTTGATCTTTAACTCCACCAACTAGAAGGATGTTCGGAGCAGAGAAACTAGTTTTGCCGCTGGATACGTCCTGGGAAGGACTGCGCTTAGTCTTTTATTTATCACTCGTAAAATCACCGAGTTCCATGACAACTGGCTTCTTGCTAACCGTGGCTGCACTTGGTTTCTTGCGTTCATTCTTGCCATATTTGTTGATGAGGCTTTGTAGGTAGCCATTTTCTTTCAAGCATTTCTCGAGCTACATTAGTTCACTGTCTAATTTATCAGTTGAACATACTATTTTTTCCCTAGAGAAAAGTGTTTTCACCCGCATTCCTCCGTAATTGACTAGGCAGAAGCTGATGAAGCTTATGTAGAGACTGTTCTATGTGTCCTTACGGTCTATCGACTTCCCGAGTGTCCTGTCATTTTTTCTCTCCAAGTTGACATCCAAGAAGTTGAATTTTTCAGCATCTTCGTGCTTCATCGTGAAGGTGACGCTCGTATGCACATTCTTGAATACGCCCAATACACATGAAGGTGACTCAAATAATTTCATACAATGAGTGTGTCATCTACGCATCAATAGTAGGCTGTTATTTCATCAATTTCACACTTGGGATTTGTTTTAGACTGTCCATAAAATCATATGCTAATATAGGGCCTAATGGACTCCCCATCGCCACTGCATCAATCTGGAGATACATTTTATTGTCCAGCTGGAATTGTATATCCTTGATACACAAAATGAGTGGCAGCTTAAATTCCAGGTTTGGCAGAGGAAGCAGGTCAGAGTGTTAACAGGTGATGTCTAACGTCTCATACAGTGGGACCTGACTTTTGTGGATAAAGAAGCCACTTCGATGGAGGCCAGAAATTGATCACACACATTAGGCTGACTAGCTTCTTCAACGGATTGGAAAGAATCTGTCAGAGTATGGTTAGCTAGTTTTCTAACAGACGCAGTTTTCACTCTAAAAAGTTTGCTTTGCCCTTGCTGCAAAGGAATTTGTGAAAATTGGGAGGATTAGCCCACAAATCACTATTTAATGAGTCTAAGGATACTGATGAAAGGGCTTTTCAACACTCGGTTCCTTATAATTATGCATAAACGATAAGCAATGTCATGGAATTTGCTTATTACAGCGATTTTTACCATGCGAAAGGAAGCCCTCTGTGCTCACTTGTAAACACTTGTATCTGAGGATGGTGACTTGATTGGAAAAGAGAACAAGCCCAATGGGATTATTCTGCAATCAAAATTTTGCAAGTTAACCTGACTCATTTTTCATTTTTACATTGGAACGTTGAAACGAAAGTTTGCTACTAAGGTTATGATATGTTGAAGAGCCCATTATGAACTGGTTATCACATGGAAGAGTTTTGTAGAGTAGAGCTAGCATCCCATTCATTCAATAGTTGTTGTTTCCCGATATTTTCAGAAATGGAGATGTTCCTTCATATATAAGCATAATTTATAGCTGGAGTGGGAGCAGGTAATAATGTTTTCATAATCAAATAAAAATTTAATCATAAATTTGGGGCTCCCCATGACTATGGTGTATTTTTTGGATTCATTTAACGTGTTACCACTTATTTTTCGTTAATATTTCAAGCTATTCAGTCCATTTACGTGAGAGATTAGGATAATTTTGATTATGATGCGTGTAAGACGGAGAATTAAATCCAATACTTCCAACCTAATTGTGTTTGCCCAATAAAAAATTCTTATAGTTGAATGTCTCTGGTATCCCAGCTCCTTCCATAATGAGTTACTTATAATTGTGTTTTATTATAGCCATACAAATATCCTATATACATCAGAGGGATGCATTATTCTTCTCACTGGAATTGGAAAGAATTAGGCTTGAGTATCAGTATTTCTGAAGGAATTTATGCATAATAAGGAAATGATGTTCCATAAATGTCACTTAGTGCTTATTTCTTAATTTCTATTAGGTGAATTTTCTGTTGGTTTTACTATGCCTTACATTATGTTATTCTTGTCGTTTCTCAATTGAGTATGCTTCCTGAATATCACGTTTGCAGGACTATCTCGGTAGTCTGCACGCTTGCTAGGTAGTTAACAATCTGTAAGACATGCGTTCCCGAACACTTACTCATAGTTCTCGTGTAAATCATTCGTGCAATAATGCTATGATTGAACTAAATGACCTATGGGTCATGTAATTAATGTTTGGTGCTCCAGAAGACGTTTGTAATAGCAACTCTTACGGAGAAGAAGCTATCATTGTAACCTCAAAACATGTACCATGCGGATCTTTCTTTCGAAGAGTAGTAACGTTTCCGTTGCCTTAAAGCTTCCTATGTCATCCAGTTGGTTCTGTGAGTCGACGTTTGTATGACAAAACTTCGGGTTTTTCGTAATTATCGTTGACACGTTTTGAATGACATGCTTCTTGAGATTAGCAGATAGTAAGTTACAACTGTGCCTTGAATTTTCTTAATGACAGCAGTTCCAGACAACAAGTCTGATTTATAAGTTGTCTGAAATGAAATATGAATGCAAAAGCATTTGTACTCTTGAATATATAGTAGTACTTATGATGAGCGGCATGAAAATAATTTTCAGCATAAACAAGGCACTAGTTGTGAGCAGTGTAATTACTTTGAATATATTCTGCTTTTAGCTTGGTTTATTTTCTTGTCCCTAAACCAGAGTTCGCGTATTTCTGGTTTTAAAAAACATCGCTTTGACTTTTCATTATCTCTATTGTGGATTTCTCATTGGTAAACGATTCATCTTTTGAAGCTCTAATTGTTAGGTAAACTATTTAATTTTCTATAGTTTTGGTTTGTAAGGATTAGTTATGTCGCGCTAAAATCACGAATTGGTAGAAGTTAGAATTCATGAACCATTGAATCGGGTCCCAGTGGTTGAATGGTATACGAGCTTGCCTTGTAACCGGAAGGTCCTGGGTTCGAATCCTAGTGGGTGCGTACTGCCGATGATTCCCATACTAGGATGAGGCAGCAGCTGTCCAGTACTCCCTGGTTTTCAATGGTTCTCTAACTGATATCAGTCCGTGATCAACTCGTAAAAGTATTTAATTCCAAAATAGTCTGCGTCTGTTGATGGGACCCAAGGCAACTATCTCGCATTGGTAACTATTTTCTAATGTGCATTGAGGCCCTCTCATTTTTTCATTGGCTTCCATAAAATTGTCAGTATATATATAAACAGCATTCCACACACTTGTTTTGCAACCTCTGGTCGTTGAAGATGGGGGACTTGAAGACAGGTTGTCACTGACCATTGACTTTTATGTTCTGTTTCTGATGTTACGTGGTATGATGAGTATTGTATGAGTGTTGTATTGTATGATGAGTAATATTGTGGTTAGGCGTAAAGTGTAGGGTAAGAGAAGCAAGTCAACGGGTGACGTTGTGAAGCTGCGTCGATTGGGATGGCTAGGACATGTGTCCCACATGAGAAGCTATCGCTCTCCTCGTCAGGCAGTTAGCCGACATAAGATGGGAATTGATGGCTATGGGTATGCTGACAGCTGGAAATGGCACAGATGCACTCACTTTTCATGTACTTCCTGATCCACCTTTTGTATAGTTATTCCTTTTTTGTCATATATTTCCATCCCTTATAGTTTCTTTTAATTTTGTTCTACCTAGCACTTTTCCAATCCACTTCAGGAAGGTCGTAATCAAAACTGTGATTAGTTACTCCTGAATAAGTCACATTGTTTTGGTCATAAAACCACACTTCTCGACAAGAAGCAACCTTGTTGCTGTTAAGTATGGAGACATGATATTTTCATATCCGTTCTGCAATTTAATTAGGCCTGAAGGAATGTATTATGTTTATATCCACACGCTATTATTCGCAGACATTTCTGATGATAGTTTTTTACATATATTCCCGAAACGTAGATTCACGCTGTTAGGTTTTAGCTTCAAAAACTTAATGGGTGTGATTCACTGGTAACTGAAAGCTATCTGCTCTCGAAGAAAAACTAAGAGTGATATTTTTCCCGCTCGCATGGTTTAAACTGCATTTTGCAGGAAGTTCTTGCATCTTTACATAGTACTTAGCCACGTTCCTTTCAACATCCTAATTTATAACTCCGAGCTGTCGTGTGGCGCTGTTTAGAAATGTATATATTCACTTCTTGCAATCATTTCGTATTACACGATGTGACATTTCTTTTGGAGATTAAGCTGCCTTTATAGAAGACAAGCAGACGTTATTCAACTCTTCTGGATGCTACTTGTTTAGATGCTCTACATTTTATACAAGAAACCACTCAAATCGAAGCTCTGATAATAAATCTAAGCATCTATGCACTGAAATGCCGTGCGCTAAGTGCTATAATCCATGTACGCCACCAAGTCGCTACGTATCACATCTCTTTTTTAGGCATTATAACTAGCTAGGCTTATGACACTTTATCTGCGTGTTTTTAACAAATAACGCTATGAAAATGGTAATATATATACGGATGTTGCTTGCTTACTTACTTTGTTCAAGTTTTTTCCATCATTTTTGCATTGACAATTTCAGTAGGCTTGTGGGTATGTAGCTTAAGTTGGCTAGTGGAAGTCAGATATACCTGAAACGCTATACAATAGACTGTATAATTTAAAAACTGACTGAGTTCGGTAGTTGTCTACCAAGGGATTTTTAAAGAAAATGTAGGACTTAAGAATTTTCCCAGTAGTAAAGAGACAGTAATTCCAGGCCTTTTTCCCTTTATCTAAGTTCCCACTTGCTTCATCACTTGTCGTTAGAACCTTTGTATAGTATCTTCCTTTGTCTTCGTAAAAGTGTTTACATTTTTCGCCGTTTTAATATTTATCGGCCCTATAATGCAGCAGTATCTTTCTAGTTTCCACATGTATCGAGATGAGGTTATACTGATACATTTATATCTGTAATGATCTTGAAGAACCTTTATTTATTGTTAGTTTAATCCTCAAAGTAAAAAAATATTTAATAGAGGGATGAAGCAGTAGTGCATGTAGATTATATTCCTTTTTCATGGGAATGTCATTTATTTTAAACCTGTAATTGAGATTTATTGGGCATTAGTGTCTTCAGAAATCCCTACAATACAATACTTAATAAAAAAAGATAAAACTGAATCTGTATCTTTTCATAATCATCTAAGTTCTAAAGGTTAGACATGCTTCAGAAGTTTACTACTACCTAACTAACTGGACTGTTATTCTAAGATATGAATTACTTCAGCACGGTTGTTCCATTAGTTAGCAATTGCAACACGGAATATTATTTTCTGGACCAATGGTTTGCTTTTTGTAGTTATTAAGTCAGTTGATTTTTATTTCAAGATAATTTTTTCCCACTCTTATTTCTTATCTTTGAATATTTCCATTTTTAAGCAGTATGTCTGTAATATCTCTTCAAATTGGCCAATGTGGTAATCAGATTGGAGCTAAGTTTTTTGAAACAATATATGATGACTGTTGTTCAAAGAAAAGCTCACTATCATGCAAGACCAATGATGCGTATGTTGAGAACTCGCTGAATACCTTCTTTTTTGAATCGCCAAGTAAAAGCGTTGGTTACACTTTGATTTTACTTTAGAGGGATGCTTAACGGCTAGATGTGTCCAAGTTGATATGGAAGAAAAAGTCATTGCAAATGTTCGTAGAAGTACTTGTTCACAAAAATGGAGTTATTCTTCCAATAGTTCCTTCACAGCTAAGTGTGGATCTGGTAAGTTAATTCTATGACTTTCTTATTACTTGGTCACTTGATACAATATGAGTAACTTAATTTGACAACGAGAGTTGAGATCTGTTCGGTAAAGACTCTAAAAAGATGCGATCTTTTGGGAAATCCGAGTAACCAATTGAAAATATTTGGGATATCCCCTACCATTTATGTAAACCGTTATCTGAAGTCGAATTTGCGTATATTTAACGTCTTATAATATTAAATGGATGGATTGGGCACGTTAACAACTTCAATTACATAGGGATTCACCTCAGTCCTAGTAGGTTGGTGAAATCTCACCACGGATGCAAACGTCTTGTTTGGTTTTCAGCAAATCATTATAAATGTTGTGCAGATGACATTCTGGGTTATCCAACGGGAGTTATCCATAGTGGACCACTTGATATGTGGCATTGTCATATAGCTGTTAAATGCGGTTGGTGAAGATTTGAGGCACTGCACTCGTGGCTAACGTTTTCGAAGGCTTTTTCAAAGACGCTGGAGTTGAGGTATAGGCGAGTACCGACAATAAACTCACAGGTGGCCTTCCCTGAAAGGGACGAGTGCTTTGATGTGAATATTATTCTGGATACCCTACTTAATAATGCCCAAAAAGAATCCCTCAGTATGGCCATTTGTTCGGTGAACATCTCGAAGGCCTTTGACTCTGTCTCCCACAACATAAAATCGAGACGATGAGTAATACTCAGTTAAAAGAGGAGTTAGACAAGGTGATCCCCTCTCCCCCTTAATGCATGGACGAGGCTATAAACCTCCCCAAACATCAGACATGAGTCAAAATTGGCAACGGTTCAATAAGCTCTATTGCTTACGCCGATGACTTGATCATCTTTGCGACTTCAAGACTAGGTCTCCAAAACAAGCTTGAACTCTTATCTAATAACTTAGATAAATGTGGTCTTAAGATAAATACGGAAAAATCATTCTCACTAACGAGAGTCAAGCTGGGAAAAGATGGCAAGTCCTATATAGACAATACAGTATACTCGATTAACGGGACAGCTATCAAGACTCTAGAGCAAGATGATGAGTCCAAATACCTAGGAATGAGGTTAGGCAGAGTGATAATGAAGAGTGGAAACTTAAAGGGAGGCTAGGGAAGAAAATGATAGAATTAAAAAGAAAAGACAAAATTGTGTATCCAGTGTTAAGACGCATCGGGTCTATTGTAAACTTAGCGACTGAACAAACATCTGTTTGCAGATTTCAAAATTTGAATATATGAATTAGCATTGCTTCTGCAGTTTGTAAAAGTTTGTTTCGTACTCTTTTGGCAAAATCCGGCGTATTCTGTAGATGACTTTGAAGTTAGTTTGTGGGTTAGTTTTGTTTCCAGATTTGATGAGATGTTTCAGGAAAGAGCTAAGTGGGGATCTTTTTTCTCCTTTATAAAACCATGAGGGTAAGTGTTTGATCATGCGTTTGTATGGCAAACGGTATACATAGAGAGCTCCGCACGAGCAGATGAATTGATAGATATACATTGATGAGGCCAGCGGTGGTAGCTTATGAGAATCATTGGTTTTTTGGAGAAAGTCAGTTGAAGTTCAGCCATGGAGGTTTTCTTCGATGAGCGTGACATATGCTTCTTCAGCATTTCTGCTGATAAGTCCCCATCGAATTGTAGGTTCAGGTGGAGAAGTCTTTTAGGAGCAGAAATTGTGGGTGGTTTCAGCTGTTTAGGCTTCATGGATTTTGTGATGAAGTGTTCTGCGTAAACATTTTCAAGGAGAATTCTTTTCAGAGTGTTCAGCTTCTCTTTCATAGTGTCAGGACTACAAATCCTGTGGCTCAATGGACGGATCAGGTTTCGTTGTATATATAGCGGCACCCAACTATGGGAGTTACTCAATTGTCCGTTCTATGTTGGCTTTCTGTAGATGGATCTTTTTAGTGTTCCATCTTGTCCACGTCTTGTTATTTGAATATCCAGAAAATATCTTTTTAAGTCGGACTCCTTCTCTAACGTGAACTGGATTGCAGGGTGGCAGCTGTTGAAAAACCCTCTTCATTATTTGAGGTAATGAAAGTTTCATCCATGTATCTCTTGTAAAACCCAGAGGTGTCAATCAGTTTCTTTAAGTATGTGTTTTCGTGTTTTGACATGAAGAAATCTGCAGGCAACAGGCCTAGTGGTGAGCCCATAGCTGTACCATCCTTTCGTCGATATATTTCATTATTAAAGGGGAATTGGACACTTAGGGTGCATCTCAACAGGAGTTCCTTCAAGTACTCAGTAGGTATTTCAATGTTTATTCCCTTTGAATCAATATGTTCGCATATGTAGCATATTGTTTCAATTAGTGGGACGTTCGTAAACAGTGATACCACATCTAGTGAGAACATGGTTTGATTAAAAACACTCACGTTTTCAATGGAGTTGACAAAGCCGAAGCAGTTTCAGAATGAGTGGCAGGAATCTTGCCTTCTGGTTGGGTCTACTAACCATTGGACGGTGCGATGATAAGGTGGATTTGTCATGTCGAGAATAGGTCAGAAAGGTGTCTTGTGTAATTTAGATAATCCGTAGAGTCGGAGTATATCTGAACCAGATGGCCTTGGGGATTCGAACATCCTGGTGTCAATCAATGATTTGGTTTTTACTTTTCTGATGATGTCTGTTGGTTTTGTTTGGTTTGGTCTGTCATATTCTTTTCACTGACCGGGTTTTGAATTTTGATTCGTCAGAAAGGATGGTTAGTATTTTACTGACATATGGCCCTCATGACTCATGATTAAGATTCCATCATATCTATTAGGGCGTATCAGCATAATCTCTTTACTATTCATCAATTCTTTCAGCTCTTTATAATGTTTCTTGGTAAATATAGACCCTCAGTTTGGCTGGGTATTTATAAACGTCGAAATGTTTGAATCCCTGAGGTTATCTGAGGCAAATATACCCCTACTGTGTGCAATGAAATGTTCTAGGGAGAAGGGTTAAACAAATGCTAGGTAAAAGTATAATTATTATGTAAACAAACAATTAGGGAAATATAAAGTGTGACAATGGATTCAATTAGGTGAGTTTTAATCACAAAAACTCTGGGACTCAACAGCTAACACAAAATCTGAGCATTTTTAATAATTTGCGTCAGTTTTTAACTGTTTAAGGCTGATGAAAAGCCGTGAAATAAAAATTTCCCTTTTTATCCTTCCTGTATGTTCGTTTCGTTTTTTTGAAAATAATAATAATACATAATTTTCTGTTGTAATTTATAAGTTAATATCTTATTTAATTGTTACTTATGTAAAATGACTTATTTTACATTTATTACTTTTAGGTAACAACTGGGCTTATGGTTATTTTGTCCATGGTAATGAATTTGAAGATAAGATACAATGTTTAATTCAAAATCAATTGGAAAATTGTGATGCATTAGATGGTTTTCTGGTGGCAATGAGTTTAGCTGGTGGAACAGGTTCAGGTGTTGGAACAAAACTGCTCACGTATGCCCTAGTATATACATATTTTTAAAGTATCTCCTCTCAACTTATAATGCTGTTGTCAAATGTTGCTTTGCAAGGATTTGATTGCTTACAGGATTGATCACAAGTTGACATCAATTATAGGACCATTGGAAAACCTGTGAGTACTGGACAGCTGTTTCGTCCTAGTTTGGGACTCTTCACCAGTACGTACCCCTGTGGTCCGAAGTCAGGACCTTCTGGTTACTAGTGAAGCTCGTAGACCATTAAGCTACTGGGATCCGCCCCAATGATGCATGAGTTCCAAACTCATATATTTTGTGATATATATTTAGTGAATCGGTAGAAGTTGGAATTCGTGCACCATTGGGGCAGATCCCAGTAGCTTATCGGTCTACGAGCTTCCCTAGTTACCAGAAGGTCCTGAGTTCAGACCCTAGGGGGTGTGTGTTGAGATGGAGAGTCGCGAACTAGGATGAAACAGCTGTCCAGTACTCACAGGTTTCCAAATGGTTCTCTAATTGATGCCAGCTCGTGATCAATCCTTATAATGCTAATGTGCGTCGGTGGCACAGTGGTTAGGACTCTCGCCGACCATGCACATGGTCCGGGGTTCGATTCCCTGCTGGCGCACACCCGATATCTATGGTCGACCTGTAAATTTGGGCTACCGATATCCATGCTGAAAATTCCATACTTGTACTGAAAATACGATGTGGAGTCAATGTGTAATCAAAAATTAAAAAGAAAATAAAAAAAATTTAAAAAAATAAATCTTTGATCCGTAGAAGTAGCTTTATTGTTTACAATGTTTATTGACTCTAAATCAGATTTTCATTTCGATATTGGATACTGAATAGTCACCAGTCGTTTAGAATTCAATTCATCTTACATAATGCTTTGTTTACGTAATTGGTTATCCAATTAAGTGTATCCGTTTTCAACTACTTGGGGAGTTTTGCAAAAAGTTTGTAGGCTACAGAGTGTTTTGTTTAAAGTTAATTCACTGAGTTATAGTCTTATGAAGTACAGAAGAAAGATAGATGTTTTTTACACAGTGCCTACGACATAGCCGCCCTCTGGTTAGTGGTGTAGCTGTCTAGTTTTAAGTGTTTGTAAAACCATATCCTCATTTATGTGCACTGTACGTGGTACACTATAATTCGATATTTGAAATTAAAGACAGACAGAGAGAGAGGGAGAGAAAGTTAATCGACAGGGAAGCCTTGGTCACAATTTCAAGACTCTTGGCACTCCTCAACACAACGTATACTCAAGCTTGGAGATGCATCTTATCAATGAGACCCTGTAAATACGGAGGGCTTCACATACACAATTTTTTAAGGGATAGAATTATTCTTTTCAAAGGAAGGCTTGGTTTATTTTCTAGTAAACCTATTTCAAATAAAATAAACTAGCATATTGGTTTGTTTATTGGATATATCAAAAAGCGAAGTGTTATTGATGGATGATTTTTGAAACAATCCACTCTTCTCGTGATAATATCAACCTGAAGTCATTTAACTGTCGAAACACAGAAATCTAGGAGGATCTAGATTAGTAAGCTCCACGAAGATAAAAAGTCTAGAAACAAGCTCAAGTATAGCAGAGGCAATCGCAGACAGGTAGAAAACCTACCAACAACCTATTGCCCAACAAATACCTAGGAGGAAATATAGATACGCTAAATAGATGGTTATTGAGTGACATCACACACCTAGCTGTCCAGTATGAACACAAACAGGACGTGACGAGTCGCGCGTCCAAGTGTTATATAATAAGGAGATCATGTGAAGAGGAAATTAAACCTTACGGGCAGTTGTGGAGCTACCTAAAATAGACCAAAAAAAGAATGAAATGGAGATATACTGCCAAAACACTATATTCCATTTGGAACCCAGCGCACGGATAATAATAATACGTCAGTTAATGCTTTTATTTTTTCTTGGGATACATTTTATCATCTCTCAGTGAATCCCAAATGAGTAAAGTCAGACTGCCTAGTAGAGTTTAGATTCTACTGTAATTTAAGCTTTGTGGTTAATGGCAGTGGGCAGAAAGCCTTGGATCTAGGTTTCGTGTTTGATGACACTCGTCATCATTGTAGATGTACGAATAAAAATGAATCTGATCAACTTCTGCATCCCATAGATTGACTTCTTACGTGGGTAGGGTTTCTCTGATCTCTATAATATGAGATGACATAATCCTTTTAGGTGTAGACGGCAACGAAATGCTGAATAATGGACATCTGTCTTTTCCTAGTTTTAGACTCTTTAACACTTCTCATCCTAGATCCAGTGAGTGGGATGAAATTCAAGCCCGTCAGACTACAAGATGAGTAAATTTTCCCTGATGTGGTCAACAATTTTCACTGCTACGTAGTTCAAAAATTGGAAAGAAACATTCGTTGATTGCTCCCTGGTTTTTCAGTAGTCTTTAAGTGACGTCAGTTGATGATGGCAACTACTGTTACAAAAAACTCATTGATTCTGTTGTATATATATATATATATATATATAAAACTTATGGTGTCGTTAATTGAATAAATGTTTTTAATTACCTTTCTTTTAGACATTTATCAGATATTGTGCCTAAAGCCTGTGTACTTGTTCAACTTATATGGCCATTTACACATGGTGAAGTATCTGTTCAAGCTTATAATGCTATTCTTACACTTGGGCATTTATTATCCTCATCTACAGCGAATAGTTTAGATGGTTTTATCATGCATCATAATGATACTTTGCATAAAATTTGCTCTAACCGCCTGTTAGCTAGTGATCCAAATTGTCAAATTGGTATGGATCATTTAAATACATTGCTTACACATCAATTGGCTGGAATACTACAGGTTTGTTATCTATCCCAAAATACAGTAACAGTTTAATTAACGAAATACTTTTTTTCTCCTCATATTATGCTATTTGAATGTATACATTTTGAATTGCTTAATCTACAACTGATTAACGCAGAACTTTGCACAGACTTGCCCCAGTTCAAGTTGCACAAAAAGGTAGAGAAAAAAGAGATGTAAACAAAGTATTATTATTATTATTCCCTTGCATTCCGAGTGGAACATACGGCTTCAACAACACATCTCCACTTTTTTCTATTTTCTGCTGTCCTCTTCAGCTGGGTCCACGACTGACCATAATCTCTCATCTCCTCCTCCTCCTCTTCGCACGATCTCCTCCATGTCACCCTCGCACCGACGACCCACTCGTCGCTTCCCATTGGGATTCCACTGGAGCGATGGTCTGCATTGAGCGCGATGTCATTCGATGGTCTCCTCAATGTATGCCTGATCCATCTCCATTTTCTCCTACATATTTGTTGAGCGATCGGCTCTTGGTTGGTTTGTTCCAATGAAGAGTTTCTTTTCACTGATTCTTTCTGGTCAAGGTCATCTGATCTTCAGTATGGAGCCAGCGAAGATGGCAACTGTTGATAAAAGTCTGTAACTTGTTGGAAATCCTTTTCGTGACACTCCGGCCAAGTTTTTGACCCGCATAGAAGAAGTGACTGACTTCACATTGATGTTGAAAATCCGAATCTTGTTCTTTATGTTGAGGGAGTGCAGAAGATTTCCAAACTGGTTTCAGGTTGATGAAGGCGTATCTTGCGTATCGCTTCTCGGCTCTCTGAGCTAAGATCATGTGTAGTATCATGCATAAACGAAGTATGATGAGCCGAAATGTACGGGAGAAAGAATATTAACTTGGAAAAACATGATGGTTTAATGCATATGCGAGATTATGAAGAGTGAATGCAATTAAATTTGAACCATATCACCAACAGTCTTCAACCATTACTTTTTAGCATCTCAAGGACTCTAACTAGGCAGTCTACACCTCACTCACTACGTGGCTGGCTGGACCAACAGTCAATGTAGTGTACAACTTGGTGACTTAAGGTGACAATAAGGAGATTTTATCAATAACTACAAAGTATTTTGATACGAATAACATATCATAATCTTTTTTCCCTCACTTATACATGTTTATTGCAAAAAGCACAGTGGATATCAGTGGCTTTATGTCTGTGGATTCTCTTCCGATGATTGAAGGATAAATTGCTCGCCTCGTAATAACAGGACGAAACACATGCCTATGACTTCAACAAATTAAACCATTCCCAATTGATCAGTAATTTAAAATTCTCTATGAGAGATAGCACTAGATATAAATGATTGCACTTGTCACGTTTGCATAGCGATCTAATTTACTCCACTTAACATCATCATTTAAAAAAGCTTTACGGAGCAAGAAAAGGAAATGAACATAGTATAAACTATCATTAGAAGAAAATTACATAAGACCAAAGGGAAATCAAAGGAAGAAATGGTACGGCTTAAAATACTTCAACGAGGATAAAGAATAGATGCATAAGTCATGTACCATAAAGTCTGAATAACGATTTCGATTACCCAGTAGACGTCGAATAGGAAACCTATGGTGGATGCATTAAGGCTGACTCATGGAGGATGTGTCTCTGTCCTTTTTTCTGTTTTGAAGCCCTTACTACTATTTCAACCGATTATAGTTGTAGGTACCGTTAGTTTGTTTCATGATTGTTGCAGCGGAAGGATTTTTAAGCAATCCGCTACCATTACTTATAGCTAAGAAAACGTATTGCATTGGTCGAAACTTGCAACTTCCCACTGGTAGATAGACCGTAGTTTCGAGTGTTGTCCCTCCTGCTTCATTATGCACACCAGAAACATACACAGTTAGTTAGGTTATCGATCTTATGTTGGACCAATCATCTTTTAACCAGTGGATTGTGTGTTCAAATCTCAAATACTATCAGCCTTCAAATAGTAGTTTCATTTCATCACCAAATGCACGAGAATACACATTTAGTTGTTTAGTAACGTTCTTCCTAGCATAAAAACGGTCTATATCTTGTAACTGAGTTATATCTATCTATAGCACAGGTGATTTCTAATCAAAGAGATGTTTATATCAAAACTTTTCGGTACATATTAGTACGTTTCTTGATCGCTCAGAAAAAAATAACATCGGCATTATTAAAAGGTATTTAATTATTGCATTTAAAAACTGTCACCACCCTGTTGGGTGGGTAAACTTCGGTCTTCCTCTCGAAATGCTGTCATGTTGCCACACTTCTATAGCCTCTGCCAGGCAAGTCCTATTCACTGCCCTCACGCAGCGGAGGTGTTTCTCATAAAAGTGAAAGGGCGAGTACGAAAGTCTGGAGCTTGCCGTTGGACTGGTGAACATGCAGGTCTACTTAGGGGAGCTGGAAGACCCTAACTCCAAACCTATAGCGTACATGGACTCCAAAATCTAAAAGGATCAAATGGCGTATGAACCTATTTTGGTCACCATCACCCTTGGAAATGCAACTTCTGATGCTGTTCCACTGCCTTGTGGACTAGGCTTCAAGTCGAAGGCTGGGGGGGGAGGGTTGGTCTCTTAAGACAACCACCTGCTTCGGTCTGTGTTTCCGGGTAGTATCCCAGTCCTCTTACAAACTATGGGATTTTGTGTGGTGTATCTCTTGGTATCTATACTGTACCATATTTGTATTTTAATAATAATGTTGTACATTACTTCCGGACTGCCGTATACCTTCTGCTTATAATCCCTTTCATATCTATCATCACTCAGTTTGACTTATATTTACCCTCAAACTGAATTGATTAGCTCCATATCTTCCTCCAAAACCTTTTAAATAAAAAGGCAAGATTGATTCGCATCACCATTGTATTGCAGTCCAACATTGAACAATAATTTACAGGAAGTCAATAACTAAGAATTAAGAAAATCTACTGATTTACTTCACGTAACAGTAAATTACTACTGGATGGCAGACTGCCTTGTATAATCATTGAAATGTTATGAAGAAGTTTAAACGCAGAGTATCCTCTAAATATATAATGGAGAATACCTTCAGGAATAAATGCCTTCGAAAGTAAATATAAGTATTTTAATAAATATACCTGTACGTCGGCGATTCAGTTGACGAATTCTCTCCAGTCAATCATGTGGTTTGAATTCGATTCCTGGCCAACGCCTTCAAAACACTTCACTTAATTGACAGTAAATCCGATGAAAAAGAGAAGTTGGGTTCGTATCTAGCAACCCCATCTCGTAGAAGAAACAGTATCGCTACTGAAGCCTCAAAGCTGAATGCTTAAAGCCGTGTTTTCCACTCGAAAGGAAAAAGAAATAAGTATACTTGTCGAACTTCCTCACTATTCGATTTTTCTCTTTCCTTCTACTTTTAGCAAAATTTCTGAAAGCGTTTGGTTTCTCTACTGAATAAGTTAACTGCAGTAGTTCATCGTGCTGGGGCAAATACATTTATACTTTTTCGTCATCTTAGTGGTAATTTCTTACTTTTTTTATTAATATCTTCAAGTTTATAACTGATATTCGTCTCACAAGATGTGTCCCTCATGCCCCATTAGATTAGTGAGTGACGCTTCGGCGTTCGGTTCGCTGGGTGCTGGAGTCAAATCTCATTGGGAATAGCACTCACTGGGGATGCAGGTACATCCAGGTGACGAGTCCCACATAGGACGACCAAATAATATTATTGATTATATTGCTTGTGATCATATTTAAAATTTTTTCTAAAATTTCTCTAAATTTTTATTCATACAGCCAACTGCAAATGAAATGGAAGGAGAATATTTTAAAGATAAAAGACGCTTAACGTCGTATTTATTGGATCTTTGTGGACATCCTGACTATCGATTAACACGTCTACGTTGTCTACCGTATATGCCAGCAGAAAGTCGTAAATTTTGTACAGAAACATGGAGTCAACTAGCTCGTCATGCAAGACAAATGTTATTGACAGGTTCAGCTGTTGAAGATAGTAAGTTTTTCCTTCTACAATCTATACACAAGTATAAATTGATTTAAGGCGTTTTACATTAATTTGCTTTAATGATAAATGTTTCCTTTCTACATTTTACTCTTCAGTTGGTAACAAAAATCCATAATATACAATCCTATATTTTTACGAGTTGATCATGGATTGATATCAGTTAGTGAACCATTGGAAACAAGCACTGGAGTACTGGACAGCTGTTTCATCCTAGTTTGGGAATCATCGGCAGTTCGCACCCACTGGACGGGGTTCGAACCCAGGACCTTCCGGTTACAAGGCAAGCTCGTATACCATTCAGCCACTGGGACCCGATTCAATGACCAGTCCATGAATTCTAACTTCTACCAATTCGTGATTTAACGCGACCCCAACCAATGTCGTCGGTCGGACATCCATCCTCACACGTGACATTTGGATGGACTTCACTGGTCACGACTTCTCACTAGAACTCCAGGAAACTCCATCCTGTAGCAAGTCACTAGCGAGCATCAGAATCGTATACGAACTTGCCTTGTAACAGGAAGGTCCTGGTTTCGAACCCCGTCCAGTGGGTGCATACTGCCGATGATTCCCAAACTAGGATGAAACAGCTGTCCAGTACTCCAGTGCTGGTTTTCAATGGTTCTCCAACTGATATCAATCCGTGATCAACTCGTAAAAGCAAAACTAACCCTTACAAATCAAACTATGGAAACTCCATTGTGGATAAGATTTTATTTTGATAAATCACACAGTGTTGTACAGTAATATTAACTGATGACGTTTCGAGCATAAACTATTGCTCATAATCATATCAAGTTCTTTATACTTATATCAAACTATAGAAAACAATCCTATACGTAAGGTAATTCATTCATCTCAATAATATGAACTAATTAGGAAATATTATTCACAGAAAGTAATTGTCATTCAATCTTACCTCATGAAGTATACAATAATCGTGTTCTTTGTTTAATTCGACAGATTTTCGAACAAAATTATGATTGAATGCTTACAGTAGTTTATTCTCTAAAGTTACCATGGCGATGAGGGTGTTTTCTTTTATGAATCAGAGTTACTAGCTCCATTCTCGATCTTCCTCTTTTCCGGGCCTAAGACCAGTTAGTAAACCAAGCAATGAGTAAGACTTCCGAGGGCGATATTGAGATCGTATAAGAAGGAATTGAGTGCTTGTGTATAGTCATGCAACCAGTCATAAGTGATGATAGAGAACCGAGTCCAGTGGGGATGTGTCTCTAAGGCCTTATGCCCCGGCTTGGAACGTGAGGAACAAATAATGATAACAGTTCATGGCAATTTGTCATTTATTATAAATAACCGTGGGACACCACATGTTTGCTTCATTTTTATTTTAGTTTCGCTCTTCGATAATCTGTATCCATATTCTCTAAAGAGATGAAGCTCAGTACTGTTAGACTTTATATTCATCATGTTATTATACAGTCACTGAATCCGAATCTCTCAACCCAGTGAACCAAGAAACAATTGTCTACTGCTCCCCAGTTTCCAATGATTCCATTAGATGGTCTCGTTTTATTTAATAACGAAATGCTTCCTGAAGTCATTTTCAGAATTAATTAATGAATCACTGTTTCTCTTAAAAAGAAAATAATTATCTAAAACGCATTTGTTTCCAATTTTCACTAATGAATAAAAAATTAATTCGATTATTCTAAAACATGTATTAATCGGTAGTGTGAAGAAGAAAAGACCAATGAGTCTGGAAGGAATGCTTTTTAGGGAAAACTGATTGTAGGCACATAAATTTGCTTTATGCTTTATTTGCACATCTTTTGGAAATTGGTCGAATATCACCACATTCGATAGCTTGTTGAGTTCTGCACAGTGTTTCTAACGTTCTTTTCACAGTTCTGTTCTTCGATTGCTTTTTCCAGTGTCAGAAACATATTGTTGCTTTTCTGACCTCGTTTACTGATATACTACTTCTATCTGATTATAAGTAGCACTCACCACAGTAGCACTATAAAAATAAGTAGATTGTAGAGATTGTGCATTGGTTAAGGTGTGACTGTTTAGACTGAACTCAGTAAATACATTCATCAATAAACCAATCTTCTGCGAGACTTTTGAATCGCCTAATTTACCAGCAGGTTGTAAGTGCAGGAAAGATGGAAGGTCAGGTATGTGGGGTTAATAACACTAATGCGTAAAATAACACTCCCATTGCTACTGAAACTTTACAGCACAGAGAATTTACTTTGAGGATGAATGATACCAACAGGTGAAAGTCTCCGGAAAGCCATTGGGTGTATAAGTTTTCTTTCGATGAAATGAAAAGTAAGCATATTAGGATATGGATTGTCTGCACCATGTTTAAGACAGTTGACCAATGATTGTTAATTTTAAACCTACTCACAGTACAATAAAATGATTAGTTAATTTACATAGGCATTCGTTAATTTCTACATAGCTTTGACATATTGTAAAGTGGTTTTATTTTGTTGATTGTGTTAAAGAAAAAGGGGTGTATGTTTTGCCATAGTGTAATATTTCACATTTAAGGGGAATAGTGTTTCTGAAAGTGATATTCAAGACATTTTCAAGTTTTCGTGTGTTTTTTCATGATGACATACTTTGTTGGTGTATGCATGGTAAACAGATGAAAAACACGGTTACTATCAAATATTTATATTCTTTGGGTTTTGTAGTATATTCTGTAGTTTTCAAGAGTTGATTTGTAAGGATCAGGTTTGTTTTTCGAGTTTGACCACGGATTGATATCAGTTATAGAACCATTGAGAAGCAGCACTGGAGTACTGGACAGCTGTTTCATCCTAGTTTGGAAACCATTGGGAGTACTCACCTACGGCCAGGTTTTGAACCCAGGGACTTCCGGTTACAAGGCAAGCTCGTATACCATTCAGCCACGTGGGCCTAATTCAATGACCAATGCATGGATTCTAACTTCTACCAATTCCTAGCGTTATTTTTTACCTCAGTAAATTTCTCAATGTAATCAGTTTGTAAAAATCCATTTTCATGTTTATTTAGTCAGAAAGAAATAATTCAGATAACTTATTGGTTTCTTCTGACTTTTATGAACTTAGAGAGAGAAAGATTATCTGTTAAAAAGTAGATTGTTGTAATTTTCGAAACTCTGTGATACATAGATAGAGTATGTTAGGAACAGGTATTTTTTAGGTAGCTGATGAAACCATATTTTGTTTTCTTTTAATCCAATTGACTCAAATTCATGTAGAATTTAGGCAGTACAATATCGCGTATTCTAAATGTATGTGTTTTATGCATTCATAACATATAATGACAAGTGTAACAGCTGGTTTCAGAATTCACTAATTTCGATAGAGATAGAAAGACCAGATTTGCAGGTAGGAGGGAGTTTAGATGATCGGAGCTGTTTCAAGAAGTGTCATGGGAAACAACCTGTTTGCAGACACTGTTCGTAGAACTTGATCTTTGTCGACTCTTGCGATATTCTGCATCGCAAAGTCACTACCTGATTCAGTGACTTGGTAGTTTTGGCAGGGAGGTGTCTTTTTAAAAATTTCATACATTTGGTTCCCTTGATTAATTTTGATAGAGAAAGAAAGACCAGATTTGCAGGTAGGAGGGAGTTTAGAAGATCGTAGTTATAATTGTATCAGGTAGTGACTTTGCGATGCAGAATATCGCAAGAGTCGACAAAGATCAAGTTCTACGAACAGTGTCTGCAAACAGGTTGTTTCCCATGACACTTCTTGAAACAGCTCCGATCATCTAAACTCCCTCCTACCTGCAAATCTGGTCTTTCTTTCTCTATAGAAATGAATCAAGGGAATTAAATGTATGTAATTCACTAATTGTTTTGCATTTATATTTTCATCGTATTAATATCCAGGTGATATATGTATATATATATTCTGAAGATTGAATTTCGTATAAAAAAATTATCATTACATTTTTATTTCATTTTGTTTAGAACTCGACTGGTCTGTCACTGCTTCAGGACCTGGGTATACAAACAGGATTGAAAATTCACGTCTTCCATTGCTTTCATATATGTCTGTGTTACGTGGTGAAGGTGCAAATGATCAAATTCGAGATGCAGACAACTTTGCAAATTCTTTAACTAAAAATCTTCTAATTTGTGGTTCATCACCGGCTCTAGTTCCTAATCCATTTGGCCCAGTTGTTCGTGGACATCCTCGTCATTTTAGAGACTATCCACGCAGTCTGTTCGTGGCTTCTAATGGTGGAGGACCACGCTTAGGGAATCGCTCAACAATTGACGACGCATACAAAGAGTTACTGACGTCTAGTGCGTTGTTAGGTGATACGGTAGCTAGTTTGAAATGTGTCTCGCTTCGAGCTTGGGAGTTATTCGGTTCCAGAGCTTATATTCATCAGTATGAAAAGTATGGGCTGACAGCTGATATGTTCATGGATTGTGTTGCCACAGTAGAGCAAGTTGCTCATTGCTATTCTAAACTACCGTGGCATTAACATGTCCTGGCCAACTTTGTTTATTTTTGTACATAATTTGTAAATAGCATAAATACATATTACTTTTTGAGCCACTAAAGTGTATGCACTTGTTTTCCAAAAATCCAGTTGGCAATTTCTGTGATTCTTCTCAACAGTCAACATCAAGATCTTCGAAATCGCGCATAAAATAAGATAACAGAAACGTGAAGAATAAACATATATGTGAGAATGGTAGTAACTGGATGGTGACTGATAAATGAGGACGTTTACAATTTCGAAGAGCAAAGCCTGATGAGATATTATAACTCTTTATAACGAACGTAAGATTAATTTTCAACTTGGGACGGAATATCTACTTCACCTCTGGTTGTCCTGAAGTCCATTTTATTTTTTCATTCCATACACTGGCCATCTTGTGTTTAGGATGTTGAGGGTTGATTAGTATTCACATAGGAACTGTTGTACGTAAGACATCAGTCTTGACTTTGAATTCTTCAAAATTTTCATCGAAATATCACATGGGTGCTGTGAAACAACTT